CTATCTACTTACGGTAAATGTTACAATAACGATAAAAATCAGAGAATAAACGTCTTCTTGTTACTTTTATAAACTAATATAAAACAGTTGTATTTTGTACTCTGTAAATCTAGCGTTAATATCATACACCCAGATGCTAAGTTCAACAAAAATGCGCTCAAGTATTCTAATTTAACTTTCATAAATTCTTTAAGAACGTAAATATGTTCGCTGTACACTTCAAGCCAGCAAATTATGTTTCGTACGTAACATCATTGCACCTTGCGTCCTCGACCGAAAAGAATCATCGGTTTAACGGTGATCTAAAAAGAAGAAAGCGGTTCAATTTTTAGCTCGAAGAACGTACATACGCGAATAAGAAGACTCGAAAATTGATTTCCCGATTGAAACGACGAGGAGCACGTCCCGCGGATCTGTCGTTCCGCGAACGAGCAGACAAAGTCCTGGGACCCGAAGGTAATCAGAAAAAAAAAATGGTTGGTCCTTCTGGTATAGCTGCGGTGGGGCCGAATCGCGGAGAGTTTCGGCGTTTTCGAACGACGTGACACCACCACTATGATCTCCGACAAAAGCCACAACACGGCCTGTGCATACAAACGTTCCATCGTTCGCCGTAAGCGAACCCGGCCGGATTCGAATGCGTACAACTCGCACGAGTGGAAAATACCTCAGAAGCTGAGGATGGCTACAACCACTATTTGTTCTAGTCTAGTCTCCCTCGCATCGCATAGCCACCCAATTTCCCCTGGCATCTCTCTCTCCCTCTCTCTCTCTCTCTCTCTCTCTCTCTCTCTCTCTCTCTTCCTCTCGGTCTCCCCCGTGTCCCCATCTCGGTCGCTCGCAGCCGCCGTTCTACCTTGTCCTGTTCCAACACGCTTTGTCTCACCCCTCCGTCTTTCCGTCTAACCCCCTTGAGTAACCCAGGCTCGGTGCACGACCCTTTCCTCATTTCCTCCTTCTCTCCACCGTTCTACCACCACTACCGTCGCCGCCAACCACCACCACCAACACCGTCGTTCCTCCCTTTCGCCCCCTTCGTTCCTCGGTCCATGCCAGCATGGTCCATCATCCTCTGGTTACTCTTTCCAGGCAAGCTTCTCCGGCAAGCTTGAACCTCCACCCTCCTCCGTCACCTCCCGCGCGCGCGTTTCTCTTCCCTTTTCTACCCCCGGTGTGCTCGTGCCTCCATCCCCTCCCCCCGCACCCCCCGTGCACCACCGCCGTCAACCTCCGGCAACCCTCCTCTTTCTGTGCTCTGTTCCGTTCGTTACGTCCCCACTCGTTCCCTACTAGTTTCGTGCGTCTATTTATCCACCTAGCGGTATGATATTACACCCCGGGGCACACTTCGGCATACCCCCACGCGGGCCGGCGTCGGTGGCGTCGGTGGCGGCGTCTACGGCACCCCTCGGCCGAGCCACGCCCAATCGTAGCCCACCGAACACCTTCTCTGTACCAGCCAGTCCATTGGCCCAGGCTGACTTTGCGTCATCGCCACCCCGGCACTTGCACCGCGTGTTTCACGGATGAGGGTACGTGCCCGCCGCGACTCGACTCGACTCTCTGTCGGCTGATTGCGGGGGCAATGGGGTGGTAGCGCGGCCGACAGAGACGGACGTCGGAGGAAAGAAGCGGAAAGAAAAGGAGGAACCCGGAACGAGCGATCGGGAAAGCGATAGGCCCGGCGAGAGAGAGAAAGAGAGAGAGAGAGAGAGAGAGAGAGAGGGAGAAAGAAAGAGGGAGAAAGAAAGAGGGAGAAAAAGAGAAAGAGAGAGAGAGAGAGGGAGAGAGAATGAGCAAGGGGTGGGAACAGGGAAAAAAGAGAAAGGAAACAAAGGGAAGTTAAAGTTGGAGAGAGAATGACGGAGAGAGAGGGCTGGGAGGAGGGAAAGCTGGCTACCGGCGAAGAGGGTGTTGAAAGTTAGGAGGCTTCATTTGGACCATTCTTTTACCGGCGTATCACGGTACACCGTCGTCGTTATTACGCTTATACTGGAATTTCTCTTTCTATTTAATCTTCTCGGCCCTTTTTCTGTTTTCTTCTGAGTCGCGAAGAATTCTGCCATTTTGTTTTGCTTCGGCGTTTTTGATTTCGTCCGCCGCCCTGTCATCCGTCGAGAAACTTGCGGTCCGGGTGGCAGGGATCCCGGGGATAAGGGCTCTGTGCCGCATTCGCTGCACAGTCACGTTGACGCTCGCCGATAAACGAGAACCGTGTGCACATGGAGAACGAGTGTCTTCGGAGAATCTGGGTTAAGAGGCTGACCTCGGCTCCGATGGCTTTTGTCGAAGGAACAGTTTTAACGCGCCGACCGTGCTGCTTTGCCCGCGATCCGTTACACGTGCAGAATAAACGATGGAGACTCTCTCTCTCTCTCTCTCTCTCTCTCTCTCTCTCTCTCTCTCTCTCTCTCCTCTTCTCTTTTTCGGGTTTCTGAAACTGGTACGATCGATCCTCGTCAAAGATTCACCCGTGTTTGCGACCCCGACACAGAGACTTTGGATCGATCGAAACGGCTGCCGTTGCACCTCTGTGAACCGTTACTTAATTAGGTTCACTATTTTCCTGGTGGAATTAAATGGCTTCGCTCGTTAGCAATATTTGGTAATTCTTCCTCGTTAATATACCGTAATAGTTGTAAAGGAATTTTTAAGTTAGCAAGGGTTTTGTCCGAGAAAGATTTTTGTATTGATCGATTAATAATTTCAAGTAATATTTGTAATTTATAAATTGAGAGTAATATTTGTAATTTATAAGTTAAAAGTAATATTTGTGATTTATAAGTTAATATTTGTTATTTTATAACTTCCTGGAAGAAGAAGAAGGGAGCGTTTATTGCACGTCTGCAAAAACTCCCACGCTTAAATATTGGTAGCTAGGCAATATATACAGTTTAATTTCGATCTCAATGGAATGAATAACATGAAAACAAAAAATGAATAAAGAATCAATATTCATTCGTACAGATCTTTTGATTAGTAATTTTCAATGGTTCCAAAGCAGGAATTGATCAAATATGAGTTTCCATTCTTATTCCTTTCTTCCATTTTTATGTTGCAAAATGCATGCTTTTGATCATTTCTATTCATCTGTGAAAATTGCCAATAATTATACAAAATATACTTATCGATGTTCCAAAAAATGACTTTAGCAACCGCGCAGAACTTTTCCTGTTCTACAGGAAGATTAACCGATTTGCGGTCAAACTAGATGAATTAATTAGAATAAAAAAGAAAAAGGGGAAGCGATTGTAAATCAGTCGCTTTATATAGGAGAAACGCTTGTTTACGCGAAGGTATTCTCAAGACACGTATCCGCGACTCGTTTTCAAGCACGGAGGATTGAACGCTCGGCGAAATCAAAAGCGTGCTTAAACGCGAGCCCTGTTCGTAACGAGCCACTTGCAGACTTATCTCGGTAAAACACACGGATTTTTCTTCCGAGTAATAACTGGTCGCTGTTGTTCTCCTGCGTTACTTAGGAACACGAGCTTTGATCAGGCTTGGTAATGCATCGGCCGCGTATGAGAAAGCTCGAAAAAATTGCTACTCGTTGCTTGCATGGAAGAGGAGATTTAGGGTGTGCGTGTACGGTCGAGCCTTGAAAGGCCTAATCGTCCCGGCAGCCTCTTTGTACGCAAAGTTAATAACGTGTATTTATGCATTTGCCACGTTTAATTGCCTGTGCGGCTATTACACTGCGCTCTGAAACGCTCGCCCCCGCCTTGAATACACGAGGGAGGGTAGTATTAAGTACTCGTCCAAGTGCTCCGCGAGTCTGGCAATGACACGAGACCTTGATGTTGTACACCGCCATTCCATGATTGCCGCCAGGCTCATTGGCTGGTCGATGCTCGAACATTTTGCAATTGTAATTACGCCGTTGAATGCGTTCCGATTGACTCGCAAATCGTTCTTGTCGGCTTAACCCTGGACACAGAACGCATATTATTCATTTCACTAGCACCTTGAAGCCTAATTATCTTTCTTACTTAGCAAGATTTTTACGCGACACACTACTTACTGATTTTATTGAAATGAACAAGGAAACAGTGTCTTAAAATATTTTTAATGTTTCTACTGTTAATACGTGATCTGCTCATTTTTATGACAAATGCATAAACTTCGCAATACACTTATCAAACGCGTAGCTTGGAATCTACCAGTGTTTCTGTTTTCGAAATTAAACACGTTAAAGTTTCATGATATTTCTCTCTCTCTCTCTCTCTCTCTCTCTCTCTCTCTTATTTATATTATTTATAAACAGTACAGTCTAAAGTCTGACAATCTACTTTATTTATCACGTACACATCTCCTTAATGATATTTTATATTTATAGAAAATACATCCTGATGTACAATCACCTTTGTTATTTACTGTTATTATTTCCCCTTATTCATGCCCATTGAGATGTTTAATTTAATAGAAAAATTTATGTTAGTTCAAAGAAATATAGAAACTGTACATAAATACCTTAAGACTAGTCTTCTACATTTTATATTATTTAAAATTTCACCGTTAATATTATACATAATTTACATTATGTACAATAATATACATACAATTTATACGGTATTAAAACTTCTGTATAACTATTACATTTTAAGTACTTATTTAGGTGTGATAAGTTAATGTATATTTTTTAAGTTAATGTAAATATAAACTACAATGAGATGCTATTTTCTCCCCCTTTTATTACGGAAAGACAGGAAAGTTGTGTAAATATAAAAAATCTAATTTCAAATTCAAACGATTTATAATCGCTTTTACTGAATACATGCAACAAATTGATTTAAGTTAAATGGAAAGTGTATTTATTATTATGAATAAATTAGTATTTACACGTTTATGAATGCGATTAGTAGGAAAAATATGTTAACATGACTTTACTCCTGATTAAATCAACATGGTTACGTTCGAATAAATAGAAAAAGAATTATGGTCAGACGGTACAATGTGTGCTATCTAGCGATAAACCTTGGAAATAAGATTACCGTGAATATTTAAATATGGCGCTGCCCTTGGTGCAATGTTATTAGTTAACCTTGCGTATTTAGAGTTTATCTAAATCTTATTATGCAATAACAATGTTCCTAATATCTCATAAAACATAAAATATGTAATTTATTTCATCAACATGATTTAGTTGTACCGATTGTACAGTAGGAAATAAGTTGAGTGCAAGTGTAAGTGTATAGAATCAACCACTATAAGAAAATATTAATTTATTAAAATGTCTATATTGAGAACAGTGATATTTAAGCCTTGTTTTAATCACACACAGACACCAAGGTATGAATTACATTCAATTACAAAATGTTTCACTTATGATTCTCATTAAAAATGAGAAACAGGGTGTGAATGATATTGTGTTCTCTAACAATCGGTTCATGGATGAAATATATTGATTATTGAATTTATTGTTTCAGGAATTCATTGTTAACATTCTTAATAAGACAAAGATATAAATTACTTGATATACCAAAAAGAAAATTTAATTCTAATGTAAAGGAATACGTAACTGGCAATAGTACCAAATTAAAAACTCTTCCATCTATCATAAAATTTGGGTTTGGTGCTGTAAGCGTAATAGCTACATGTATAGTAAAATCAAATAGTACAATCATAGAATGCAGAGCACTTAAAGCGCTTCCAAGAGATATAGGAGATGACACGGATTTGCAGTTCAACTGGAAAAAGTTTTTGCAATATCTACGTCCATATCTGTGGCAGTTGTTAATAGCTTTATCAGTGAGTATACATGTTTATTACTATATACAGACTTTACCTTAGATTAGACAAATTTAAATTGTTTATTTTGAAAATAAATAAATATTATATTCTGTTCTACTATATATATATACGTATGCGAAAATGTTATTTATTATTCTAGAGTGCACTAGCAGTAGCTCTATTAAACATTTGGATCCCACAGTATGTGGGCAGCGTGATAAATGTTTTAACACGAGTCTGTCAAAATACTGGAAATGTGAGTGAAAAAAATTTGCTTTTGGAACTTGCACAGCCTGCATTTGCATTGGCACGTATGTATATTGCACAAGTACGTAGTTACTGACTTAACAAATAATTGTTCTCTTCTTGTTATATTTAACAAGTAATTTATAATTTTATTCTTAGGCATTCTTCACATTTATATACATATATACACTTTCTCATGTGGGTGAAAAGATAGCAATGCACTTGCGACAAGATTTATTTAAATCAATTATTATGCAAGATATCACTTTCTTTGATAAAAATCGCAGTGGTGAAATAGTAGGTCGATTAACCAGTGACATACAAGATTTTAAAAGTGCTTTTAAAACATGTATATCTCAAGGATTAAGAAGCACAGCTCAAATTGCTGGGTGTGTAGTTTCTGTAATAATAATTTCATCAGAATTGACTGCACTTATGGTGATGTCTATGTCCACTATAATCTTTATCGGATCATTGTTTGGGAGAACTTTAAGGAAATTATCGGCACAGGCGCAAAGTCAAACTTCTAAATCTACAGCTGTTTGTGAAGAAGCTATTCAAAATATAAAGACGGTATTTATAACGAACTGAAGCTTTTCTCATGTACAACTATAAACCAGATTAATATCTTTGTAAATTGCTCGAACAGGTGAAAGCTTTTGCAGCAGAGGATAAAGAAATAGAAATGTTCTCAAAAGAGGTTGAACAGGGTGCTTTATTGTATGAAAAATTAGGTTTTGGAATTGGTTTATTTCAAGGGGGGACAAATTTATTTCTTAATGGTATTCTACTTTGTACATTATATTTCGGTGGACATTTAATGTCTGTTGGACAACTCTCTCCAGGAGATTTAATGGCATTCTTAATGGCTACTCAGACTATACAGAGGTCTCTGTCACAATTGTCGTTATTATTTGGAACCTATGTCAGAGGTATCAGCGCTGGCGCAAGAGTGTTGGAGGTATACATGAAAACATGCAAATACATTTTAATATTCCTTAAAATATCATCTCTGTTACATATCATATTTTAACAGTATCTGGACATGCCACCTTCACCAATGATGGTAACTGGAGAAATTATTACAGACCATTCCCTTGCTGGAAATATAGCTTTCAAAGATGTGAAATTTTGCTACCCTACTAGACCAGACCACATTATTTTAAGTAACTTTAATTTACACATTCCTGCTGGGAAAACTGTAGCTATCGTTGGTTCTAGCGGTAATGGCAAATCAACTGTCGCCGCGTTATTAGAAAGGTAATTTCGAAAATTGAATTTCGAAAAAACTTATTTATTAGACATAAAATATGATTTTGTTTAGACTTTACGATGTTGACGAAGGATCAATTACAATTGACGGTAAAGATCTAAGGACACTTAATGCTGGATACTTGCGAGGTACCGTTTTAGGATATATAGATCAGGAGCCTGTCTTATTTGCTACAAGTGTTATGGAAAATATACGATATGGGAAACATGATGCTACAGACGAAGATGTAATTATTGATGTGATAATTAATAATTACTGATAATCCAGATTGTGTGTCTCAATCCAATAATATTTTATTGAATATCTTGTTCCATTTATTTCAAGGTCATCGAAGCTGCAAAGGAAGCAAATGCCCATGAGTTCATCATGAAGTTCCCAAATAAATATGAAACCCATGTGGGTGAAAGAGGGGCGCAACTCTCTGGGGGACAAAAGCAACGAATTGCTATTGCTAGAGCTTTACTTAAACGACCATCTATATTAATTCTGGATGAAGCTACGAGGTAAGAACTATATTCTATATTTTACGCCTTAATACTAGAATCTTTCATAATTTTATTGTTCTTATAATTACGTAGTGCATTAGATTATAAAAGTGAGAGAATTGTTCAAAAAGCACTAGAAGATGTTACAAAGGGAAGGACAGTTTTAGTAATTGCTCACAGGTTGAGTACAGTGAAGGCTGCTGATATTATTGTTGTGTTACAAAAAGGCGTTATTGCGGAGGTACGTAAGAAATAACAAAACTTATTTAATAATTTTCAGGAAAATATTTATTATTATAATTTATGCTTACAGATGGGTACGCATACAGAATTATTAAAGAAGGGAGGTATATACTACAACTTAGTAAATGAACAAGATAAAGAAAATAGATAACTTTAGTGAAATTTCGAAATATAATACAGTGGCTGGAATCAGTATTTAAAATAAATAATATTCATATTATATGCATAATGCTAGTATATGTATTTACGAAAGATTTTTGAGGATGAACATTGGACTATCTCAGGTACAAATATACACATATATAAATGAATAAATAGATATTTATACTTTTAAATAAATATAACTTATTTATTCGTTTCTCCTTGCGTCTATAGCTGAATTATTTTGTTAAATTAGTATAAATATATACAAGTAAATTTGCATCTCTCTCGTACTTATCTATGTACGAGTTTTAGAAATCCTGTTCAGAATATTTGCTATACGATGCTCAAATCTTGCTGTGATATTTAATAATCTTGTTGCTAAAGGTAATGCGATATGCGATGATATCGTTTTTTTAGAGTTCGAATCATTTAATGCAGTTACAATCTGCTGCGGTGCGTCAGTTTTATCTTTCAATAACGATTCATTCTTCTCCAGTCGTGCTAGTAAAGATTGCACCATCTGTTCACATGATTGTTCGTTCACATCAGTACTAGAATTTGAGTTCAATTTATTTTCGTTGGCCACTAAAGCTGATTCCAGTGATGATACGGTGTTTAAGGTCGACGTGAAATTCTGTACAATTTGTTCGATGTCGCTGGAAGTATCATCTAGCTCGTCAGGCTCATAAATCATATTTCCTGTAGGTTCTGTACCGACATAATTTGCTGTGTCTGTATTAGTTAAGAATCCAGCGTCATTAAAAGGGGCTATGATATCAGACACTGATGATTGATCGAATAACGCAGAATTTGTATAACTTTCTATGGGTGCAGCACTGGAATCTTCAACAGAAGTGGGCAATTCATCTAGATGAAGTTGTTCAGAGGTTGTTCTTTCATTACTAAATACAGGAGATGTGAATAATTCGGTAGATGAAATTGTGGAAATAAACTTTGGCACACTAAATTCGGCAGTTGAAATTGTGGAAGTAAACTCTGACATACTAAATTCGGTAGTTGTATATTCATCAAGTTCTTTTTCATTTAAACTCAATGTTCCTTGCTGAGTTGCAAAATCTACTGATGGTTCATTTGTATCAATCTTTGCAGATGTACTTATTTCTTCTAGAGTTGGAAGCAAATTTATTTGTGGGATTGCAGCACCTACTATGGTATTTGAAGGTGTAACTTCAATTATACTTGTTGAATATATGTTATTTGTTGTAACTTCATCATTCTGATCACTTGAGTACTCCTCTACAGTAGTAGTTTGTAATGGTTCGTGGCTAATTGTATAATTTTCAGTGGTGATTGCAGCCATATCAAATTCTTCATTTAATAATTGTTTTTCCCAAGTAAAGGTTTGTAACGATGGCTCAGTAGCTTCTGTACTAAGATTAATGGTACTTTTCGTATCTAAAATATCTTCTGTTGAATTTGAAAAATCGACGTCATTAAACTCATTAGATTCGAGAGGCATCTGTACCATAGTAGAGTCAGTCGTCGGTGTAATTCCACTCTCGTAATTATTTATTGCAATGGTTGTGTCAATTATGTCTCCTGTGAATTCTGGGGGGATTGAACTATAATCAGTAGTTACGAATCCGTTTAATTCTTCGTCATCTGGTTCATGTTCTCGGTGTAACACACTTATTCTTCCTTCTTCTTTAGGTTCGCATATGGAAGATGCATTTAAGTACGTATCATCGCATATAGCGGAAACACTGCACATTTCTGTTTCTGCATCATAAACCATAGTCTTAGGACATCTAAAAATAGTTTGGGACATCCGGCGACCATTAGTTTCACAAGTGAAGAATAAAGTACAATCGTTCGGCACCGGAAATGATCCAGATTTTTTGCACGCAGGCAATTTTATAGAATCAAATGTTTGCTGATCAGGATGGCTTCGTTCAGTGACTTCTTCCTGATGATTTACGTGAACACATTTGTGCAAACGATAGCTAAAATACTGATCTTCTCCACATTGAGCCAGGACTGTTTCATTTTTTTTACAAATGTAATAGTGTTTAGGATTGCTGCAATGGGGCTTCAAGACATTTACACCACACGATTTCGTTTTATTCACATAAAGTAGTGTACCACCTCCAATTATATCTAAGCAACGTTTTTGCTCTTCATCAAAGTATTGGGTATTACTGCAAAATGGTGGCTGAGAGTTCAAATCTTTCTTATATCTGTATATCTGGCTGTGAATGTCCATACTATTATCATCAAAGTCCTGCAATAATCATTATATTGAAAATATTATAGCAACAATAGTAAAAATATAGAGATTTTCAGGAGTAGATTATTTCGTTTAATTGAATGAGCTTTTATTATTTTTTAATGTATTAAATGTGTTATAAAAATAAAAGGGAAGATAGCACTTACGAATGGATTCTCTACTGGTTGATTAACACTGCTCGAAATAATTCGCAGAATTAACAGAAGTGTAGTGTAGTTCCTCATATTGGGTGATTATGCTAACTGATTGCTAAGCACCGATCAGGTTTCTTGACAGTCAGCGTATACGGTTTTTGGTCGTCGCCTAAGTTTTATGACTCTCATAACTGCACGCTTGAGCATTTTTATATCAAAGACGTGCTTGATAATAATTACGCGTGATAAATCCAAGCGGCAGATTAACGTCACTTCGTGTCATTTTCGACAACGAAAGAATGCGAGCAACCAGATCCACTAATTATTTCATGGAAAGTATGTATTCTCGTGATGGAATAAAATCTTTTGCGTTGTTGTTGTAATTAAAGTTTGTATGTAATCAAACACAGCAGAACGCGTCCGCAAGCACGTTCTATGATTTAATAAAAAAGATATGCATTCGAGGGCAATCAAGATTTCATAATACATGCTACTAAAAAGTACAAAGATACAAACGCAATGTTTGTTATGGCATAACTTTTGGGAAAATGGTGCAAGGAAAAGTGAGAAACTTAGAAATGAAAACAAATATTTATTATACGACTATAGTGGCAATAGATATAAGTCAGTAACAAATCTGTATATACAATGTTTCGTTGAATTACATATCTACAAGGTGATTTGTTTTGTTTGCTCATTAAAATAGCATACACAGTAATTTGCTTCCAGGTATGTTGAAATAGGACCCAATTCTAGGATTGCATATCGTTGTTCGTGATAAAAGCAGGGACTGTACAATTTTTTTTTCCATATGGAGTAATTCTCATTTATCAACTGTTAGAGTTGTTTCAGCAATCGTACTGTGTTACTCTGTACGTAAAGTTATTACTTGTTATGATATGAATCCCTGCACCAAAATATGGTATCACATAGTGCGAACCATCTGCAGGTCCTACGATTTGTGTTGCTATAAGTATAACATCGACAAACTGGCCAAGGAAGAGGAATCCCAAAGTACTCAGCTTAAGTAGACCCAGTGCTGGATACCCTAGGTAAAATCTATCTGCTCCAAACATGCCAAGAAATATGGAGAGTAACAATGATGTTGCAAAGGAATATCCATTTCTGTGAAAAGATAATGCTAAATTAATTCACGTAAAATTACTTCCTGGAAATTAAAGGTCGACGGGAACATAACAACGTAGTACAACTACTTCGATCACACCAATCGACTATCGATGTTTATTAAAACATTAGTGTAACAACTTGTACTCACGTCCATTTACAAGGAATATCCTTCTTGAACGTGTTATTTTTTGTTTCTGTACAAATGAGGCCATCTGCTGCCAGACACAACACTGATAAGCACATAATAAGTACATGAATTACATTTTTACGATCTGTGATACAAGATAGATACATTACAAATTTCAAATGAAACTGAATGTGAAAGTGAAATTATTGGCGGTATAGATAAAAATAAAAGTACAAGAATCGCTACGTTTACGGATTTCGTAATAACAGATAGGCTGTATAGGTTATGTCACACTATTTTTCGAATTTTTAGAGGAACAATAGATTCAAAGAGAAAGTTGTTTCACCCTTGGCCTTATTCTCCTTGGTGCAACCCTTCGGTTGTTGCGTTTCCAGGTCTATGAAATCATAATCGGGATGAGGACAGATGTACTGTCCCATTCGTAGGTTACTGCAGTCAATTTCATACGTGTTATCCGCACCATTGCCCAGCGGTATTAAGAGAAAAAGCAACAAAAGTCCGCTAAGGAATCGCATCAGATGAAACATGCCGTTTCATTTTATAACAATTACTTCGATCACCACAATATCACTTGATCCAACGTCTCCAGTAGTTTCACGATATCCTGTGCATGTTTGTTGTATTTTGAACACACTGCCATTAGAAGATTGCTATACCCTGGCGCCAACACTCGAAAAATCTACGAACTTCGCCTCATTTTCATTTCCTATCTTTTCCATCAGCGAAATCAAATTAATTCATTGTCTTGTGATTTTGGCAGTGATTTCCTTTATATTTTAATATATCTAAAGAACATATGAAATTGAATTCTCGACAGGATATTGAGATTATTTGAAGGTTGTGATATACGTTAACAAGTACCAACGGATGGTCATATAAATTTATATATGTACAATCTAACGTATCGATTTGCAATTGAAACTTAATTAAAAACTATTGCCTTATATCTTTGATTATTATTGATATAAAACCGTCTTGTCAGATTTATTTATTTTTGTTTTTATGGCAATATTTTTGCCTTTGGGTATACATATAAACGTAATAATACTACTGCAGAATTTGCATTCACGTGTGTTCACCGTGAAATAAACAATAGAAGAATCTTACGATAGTCTAGCATTTGATTGGACTAAAATGGCTGCTTCGTCGTTGAAGAGCACTCGAAAAACGTACAGTTTTGAGGAGCGGGAGATATTGATAACGTTGATAAATAAATACGAGGACATCGAGGAAAAAAAGTCCGATCCTGTATCGATGTGTAAACGAAAATCGGCTTGGTCTCAGCTTGCCGACGAATACAACTTAATGGTAGGTCCTCAAGGTGTACGTTCGGCTGCGCAATTAAGACGCTGTTGGGAAAATATGAAAGTTTGCAAACGTAACCGGGAAGAGAAGAAGTTGCGGTAATTATCACTCCCTAATCTAGTTTATTTTTTATATCGATAACTTTTTTTTTGTATTCTGTAATGCGATGTAATGTAGTATGGCATGTAAATTGTTTTTACTAGGATACTTTCTGTGAGAAATTTTGTAAGTTTTTGAAGTTCAGGATTGTGTGAATTTCTTATAATTTAATACTTCTTAAAGAATAAGAGAACATTTCTTATCATGTAATTATCCATTGCGGTATGTATATAAATAAAATATCACTATAGTTATTTATCGGCTAAAGATACGATTTTAAGAGTTCAATGGAATTACGATATAATTTTCAAGTATCTTCAATTATTTATTAGATCGATATTCTTCATTTATAATTCTTTTATTTAAACGATTATGCGAGTAATTAATGCATAATAAATAGGTGTGTTTGAACTAATAACATTTGTACCAATTGTTTCTATCAACGTTTGTTAATAATGAAAACAATTTGCACATTTATATTGATTTTACAATTATTTTATTGAAATTGATTTATAGAAAAGTGTACATATCTCTAATTTAATAAAGTACACAGGCGAATAACAGGTTGCGTATCCTCAGGAACTGCATAGAATAGCTTATATTCTTCACCGCCTGATGGCTCTAGTATCCCATGCTTTCTGGGAACATTAGAATTATTTTATCTCTTATTTCATCTTATTTTGAACGCTCTTTATGAATAATTTTTACTTTTTAAATTTGTCATTTAACAAATAACTTGTACAATAACAGATCTGAAAATGTTATTTCTAATTAAATAAAAGTTGTGCAAGCTTAACAAGCGTCTTACTGTTAGCTTCTGTGATCGATATATGTATAGAACAAATTCGGTGCGGAAACATTAAACTAAGTGATGTAATATTCCAGACGTGCAGTTTATTTTCTACTTTTTAGTATCAATTTATGAAAATGTTCTTCATTCGGCCAAAGAATGAATTTGCTTTTTTTTTACACAATATCAGAACTACCAAATCAATCATAATGCCTGGTTTCCGATTGTTTCTTTCACAGTTATTGCAATTATAGAAACGGTTTCTATGTGAAATTTTTTAGTAAACATTTTACCGAATTTCTAATTGTGTTATTCTTATAAACAATATACATTAGTCGCGTTTAAGGTTCGATGCTTTTACTAGTGAAAAAGATAGTTAGGTTTAAATAATAATATTTTAAACTTTCTCCACTTCCACCGTGCCGATTTTGAAAATCCCTTCTCATAAGTCTCTCTGACTCTATTTTTCGAAAAAAATGCAACGAACACAGAAGTGCCTGTACATGATCCGAGTTCTTCCAGAAATATTTCAAAAAGTTTCTGCCATCTGTCTAAGGATCATTCATGCTCTAAATTCTGGGAGAGTAGATCTCCTTTGTCGGAGCTACCGATACCAACCGGAACTGTGGGATTGCCCCCAAATGTCGTATTTGAGCCGAAAGAATCGGAACCATTCACATTGCAAAGCGTTTGTACTTTGAAGCCCCCGAAACAAACCGCAAGAGATGAAAGTAAAGATTCAGGTGAGGTGCTCCTCCCCACTTTACATTCCTTTGTCTTTTTACCAAAGACCGTATGGCAAACACATCACGGACGTTTACGCAATCTTAGATTTTCACACAGATTAATATGTACAGATATAAATAACACATTACAACAAACAGAGATTTTTCACGTAGATTAATATACAGAGATAAATAACATAAAATAAACATAAATTTTCAGAAATTAGTTCACGGAAACCAAAATGGTGTAAAAATTAATATGCCACATTCACTATACAAGATATACAAGATGTCCCAAAAATGTCTCGCAATCCGGAAATAAGGGGTTCCTGAGGACATTTGGTGTAACTTTTTCCTTAGCGAAAATGCAGTCCGCGGCTTTGTTTACGAGTTATTAGCAAAAAACAGTGAGCAAACGAGCGGCGAGCTCGGCGAGCGGTGCGAAGCGGCCCAGCCAACGAAGCGCTGCCTCGCGCTAGCAGATCTCGCCTCTCATTGGTCACTGTTTTTCGTTAATAACTCGTAAACAAAGTCGCGGATTGTATTTTCGCTAAGGAAAAAGTTACTCGGAATGACCTCAGGAATCATCCCTTCGCAGGTGTTAAGATAATTATGAGACACCCTGTATACACTAACAGGCACCACCCACACTGCTACAGTCAATATGAAGAAAGTCATTGTGTGACAATTATTATTTTTTCACTTAGAAAAATTTATTTCAGTCGCTTATAGCAGTTATACGCGCGGGAGATTCTATTTTGATCGCTCGTAATATTTATAGAAGAGAGATCGTATTTCAATCTCACTGTATCAAATGTTAATTCAGATTCAGTTTCCAATAAAATCAATTCGAATCTGTCGTCGCACGGATTGTTGGCAGATTATTTGGAAAAATCAACGATGCCCACGGATTCTCCGATCGCCAACAGGTTGGACAAGGAGAACACGCCGGAGGGATGCCGTTTGATTTTCAAGTCGAACGCTACTCAAACAGCGGCGTCGCCCCCGTTCTCTGTTCACGATCAACCTCGTAAAGTGAAGCGATCGCTTCATAGAGAGGAAGAGTTGCATGTGTTGGCCCTTTCGGAAGCGCAAATGAAAGTTGACATCGCCGCCATGTTGAAAGAGGAGGCCAGAATTAAGCTGGAGGAGGCCCATTATCGTAAAGAGGAGGCTAGACTCAGGATGGTCCTTTTCACGTACAAGCTCGATAGAATGAAACAAGATTAACATAATAATTGTTACCCATTACCCGTGAACAGTCTCCGCTCGGAAATAAAGGAAAACTGCTTCTCTTCTGTATAGTATCTATTTATTTTTTTCTAGCTACAATTGAAACATAATCTTAATAAATACAAGTCCGTAACATTAACTACTTGATGAATTTTTGTATAATTAGTTCTAAAGATAAAAGACAAAATTGAACGATCCATTAATCCACTTTTGATCGAAGAAATATGCATCGTGTAACATGGAAGACGCTTCGCAGATAGTAACAAATATTTCTTTCGAAACAGTTTTTGCATTGTTTTAGAGTAAATTAACAAATACATGATCATAGTGCTCGTGCATGTATATGACTGTTATCATGGAAATCACGAGTAGCAATTACATTTTTAGAAGATTACGATGATTTCAATGCATGATTGATGCGAGTATTAAAACGAAAGATTGTCAATTTATTGACACGGCAGTCGTTGCTGTTGGTGATCATTGAATTTGACTAGCACTGCGATCATCATATTTGGAGACAGGGAACGAAAAAGGGGAAGAGAGACATAATAAACATAATGAGTTATTTAAAAATGCAATTGATGAAGGTTAAGACCGAGTTAGACGATTGTTACGCAGTTGATTACAAAGAGTAATACCGTTGAGATCAAATACCTCGTATACCGAAGATGTGCAACAATACTTTGGTCGTTAAAGTTTTTATACCTAACTTTTAAATATAATTTTTGGTTTTCGTAGAAATTGCAATTTGATTACGTTCGAACATATCGATCCTTCCGAGTTTCCCTACATCAGGTGGAAGTTGTCATTGAGTGCGGGTTTGGGGGATGAGCATCGAGCAACCTCGAAAAGTGATGGATCGGTGTAAATCGGTTCACTGGGATCGAAGCCGGTCCTTCTGTTCGATGACAATCCGACAGCGCCCTCCAAACCTGTCGACGAGCCGCTTACCATTCGTTGACCGATCACGTTGCTCACCGATCTGGAGATCGACCTACACGTGCAATATATTTTTCAAATTTCTAGAGATACGTTGTGCTGGTCGAACATATATTTTAGAGGCAAACCATTGGATCGAAAAATTTTCGGAGACCCGTTGTAAATGTCACAGATTGTTTCGAGAGTGGAATTATATGTACAGAGTGATCCATTTAATAAGGAGTATGCTTTTTAACTTAATTTCATTTTTAACACGTTCCGTGTCAAGCCGTTTTTGCTCGACCATTCGCTCGGGCCATTTGACATTTTGACAAACGATTGTGCGTAATATTGTATGTAATTATGAACCTTTGTATGAAACAAGTTTATTTGCTTCGTTATATACCGCATTTATGTAATGTCTCATTCTTTTGGAGGAAACATATTCATCAGTCTCAAATGTATTATAAAGTATATCTTTTTTCAAAGCATTAAATAAATATACAGGGTGTCCCAAAATTATGATACTTCCGGGAAATTAGAGATTACTGAGGTTATTCGAAGCAACTTTTTCCTTTACAAAAATTTTCTCCGAGGCATCGTTAACGAATTATTCATGAAAAACACTGACCAATGAGGGGCGAGTTCGCTCGGCGCTTGACGACCGAGCCAACGAGCGGAATCGAGCTCCGTGCGCTCGTTGGCTTCGCCGCCGCGCGCCAGCCAAGCTCGCCTCCCATTGGTCACTGTTTTTCGTTAATAACTCGTAAACGAAGTCGCGGATTGCATTTTCGCTTAGGAAAAAGTTACTTGAAATAACCTCAGAAACCTCTCATTTCCCGGAAGTACCATAATTTTGGGACACCCTGTATAAGCGTGTACCATTGGCGGTACACGTGGGATGGAACGTGTTAACCATAATGTTTCAAAAATATCTTGCCCTGTCGTTTCTCCTTTATAATCGGGGAAATTATGCATCACGCATTAACTTTTACTTTACACATCAGAGAAAATTCAATCTCTTGTTAATTCGTTGCTAATTTGTATACGAACCATTTTTTTTTGCTTCATCTACGTTAAAATAGCTTGAGAAGGATGCACGGAATTTAAAAAAAAAATTGATTTTTGGATAGAAATCATATGTAAGAGTTTTTTGACTAATGTGTGGTTATTTTTTTTAGTAGACATGAAGTTTTGTCTTCAAGTGTTCATCGTTTCTGTCCAAGTCAATATATTCAAAATCCCTTATATATTTTTTCTAGCTATTTTAATGTAGATTGAGAAGAAAATTGGTCTTTCATTCTAGACAAAAAACAATGCTTATGTTGCAAACCCCAGAAAGAGACATACTGTATTCGACCGCTTTGCTGTCTCGCCATTTTGAATGAAACTAATAAAAAAAATAAATGTTTTTGATAAGTGAATTGCCTGTTTATTTATTTACTTATTCATATTAAATAGTTAGAGAAGTGCTTCACTTTTGAGTCACAACTGTGACGTTACCACTTAATTGTAGAGCAAAATTTTTAATTGATTTTTCTCTAGAACGAAGGCCCATTTTAAAAAGTTGAGATTCTGTCGTAAAACAGCACCGAAATATCTTCTTGTATATTCATGCTCAAAAATACCAAATTTCGAGTTGCCGTGAATTTCTCTGTGCTAGTCGAGTCGACGGAGTCGGTCAAGCATGTGATGCGGCACGCGACACGAATTCCCGGAAGTCAACACAAAATGGTCTGTTTGGGTGTGAGTCAGGTAAGAAAAACCGCGGAGCTACAAGGTACGTGACCAAACTCCGTCGAATCGTAACACGTGGCCTCCGAATTGTCTTCGAATCGTGTTATGTGGCCTCCGTATTGTCTTCTAATCGTGGCATGTGGCCTCGGAATTGCTTTCGAATCGTGTCACGTGGTTTCCGAATTGCCTTCGAATCGTGGCAAAAAATTGGAAGCAAAAAAGTTAGGTCACCGTTTTTATTCTAGCATTACTATGTGTTCATATTAACACGTTGACCGTCGCGTCGGTCAAATATGGGTGACACAAATTTTTGACCAATCTTGCAAATTCATTTTCATCGAAATATATTCGAACGAACTGAATTTGACTAGGANTAGTCGAGTCGACGGAGTCGGTCAAGCATGTGATGCGGCACGCGACACGAATTCCCGGAAGTCAACACAAAATGGTCTGTTTGGGTGTGAGTCAGGTAAGAAAAACCGCGGAGCTACAAGGTACGTGACCAAACTCCGTCGAATCGTAACACGTGGCCTCCGAATTGTCTTCGAATCGTGTTATGTGGCCTCCGTATTGTCTTCTAATCGTGGCATGTGGCCTCGGAATTGCTTTCGAATCGTGTCACGTGGTTTCCGAATTGCCTTCGAATCGTGGCAAAAAATTGGAAGCAAAAAAGTTAGGTCACCGTTTTTATTCTAGCATTACTATGTGTTCATATTAACACGTTGACCGTCGCGTCGGTCAAATATGGGTGACACAAATTTTTGACCAATCTTGCAAATTCATTTTCATCGAAATATATTCGAACGAACTGAATTTGACTAGGATGTTTCATATGCGAAAGAGTACTAATGTCATACACACTATGATAAATTTTAACTTTCTAGTTCCGGTTTAACGAATTAAATTGCTTTGACTTTGTGGGAATTTTAGCGATCGCTGTCCTTTTATTGGCGATTGCCTTGATTTTCTATAAAAACGATCCGCGTGGCACGACGAATCATGTCTTAAAGCGACTTAATATTTTCAGATCTGCGTAATTTAAAATAAATTTATTAACGCCAGGTTAACGCGGCGTACTAAACGTGATTATACTATATTATATTACTTCACGAAAGCAACAATAACATATGTATTTGTTCCGATTTTGATTGTAATGCTTGCCCAGATTTATCGTACGAATTCCTCATGAATGTATTTTTGCAATTTCAGTAATCTAAGAGTTAAAGAAACTCGATCCCGTCGTTTTGACGGGTCTACGTAAACGTAGTGTTAACGAAGTCACGGATACGTACGTCGATTGAAACGGTTTCTGAAGTCCACTGCGCAAGAATGAGAAGTTATTCGCCCGACTGGTGTAGGCATCGTCCGAATGACTGCTACGGTTGCATGCTTTGTCAACTCTGCGGTTCTTCGTAATCACTGCGTAAGCGTATTTTCTAAAACAGTTCATGTCGGCCGGTTCAGTTTCGTACACAGAGACGGATTCGCTGCGTCACCAAGCGAACATACCTATAAATCAGCATGGATAAGCATACCACCGATGCTAGAAGCACGACGAGCACTGCCACCGCAGTCACCAGCCCGTAATACTCGTTCGGAGTTATGCAAACGTTCTCCATCACCGTGGTCTGCCTTTCTACCATAGTTTCCTCGTCTATATCCATTCTTGAATCGAGCACCTGCGCCAAATATTACGTCAACATTCAAGACACCGATATTCCTATCTTTTCTGTAAGCCGACAGCGACATTAATCGCATTATTAAGCACTATTAAGCGTTATTAATCCGCTTGCACTACGATTTCGTTCGTAGCTACGTTGTGTGATCGAGTGAATTTTTAGTCTTCGACAGATTCCCACTCGAATATGAAAATTGACACTTATCGTATGTTCGCTTTAATGGTAATCGACGATTACAGAAAACGGTAAAATTGACTTTTAGCGGCACTTTAACATTTTGATTGCTGGACAACAAATACAAAAATTTCATGAAACGAAAGTATCTTATTTAATCAAATTAAAATTGGGAAGTTAAATTGAATGACGTCAATTACTTTTTTAATACCCTTCCGTTTTTTACGGACCCTAATAAAATGAGGGAGACATAAAAGACCAAACAGGGTGGTCCGGAATTCGTAGCAGAACCGAGCAGGGGATGATTCTGTGTAAGAAAATAAGAAAAAGATTTGGAATAACATTTTTCTTTTATCCGTCATCGTCTATGTTTGTAAACACGATCTGATCAAGAAGGCAACTGCGGTAGAAGAATAGACAACTAAATCCTTTATAAAGATGAACAAACTTTAATGTCGATTTTCTTGAAAACGG